GCAGTGGGTCAGGGCTCCCCATGTGACCTGGGTGGCCTCAGAGGCTGGAGGGAGCAGCTGTTTCCCCTGTTCTCTTCTTAGAAGGAGGAAACCATCTTTTTCAGAAGACACCGACTGACTCTCCCTCCCATCTTGTTACAGGAGAGGGGTCCCAATCCAGACCCCAAGAGAGGGTTCTTGGATCTCACGCAAGAAAACCCAGGGCGAGTCCGTAAAGTGAAAGCAAGGTTATTCAGAAAGTGAAGGAGTAAGAAAATGGCTGCTCTGTAGACAGAGCAGCCCCGAGGGCAGCTGATTGTCCTTTTTTATGGTTATTTCCTGGTGATATACTAAACAAGGGGTGGATTATTCACACCTCCTCTGTTTAGATCATAGAGGGTAACTTCCTGACACTGCCATGGCATTCGCAAATTGTCATGGCACTGGTGGGAGTGTGGCAGTAAAGACCACCAGAGCTCACGCGTCGCCATCGTGGTTTTGGTGGGCTTTAGTGGCTTCTTTACTGCACTCTTTTATCAGCAAGGTCTTCGTGACCTGCGTCTTGTGCCGACTTCCTGTCTCATCCTGTGACTTAGAATGCCTTCACCTCCTGGGATGGCGGCCCAGCAGGTCTCAGCCTCATCTTACCCAGCTCCTGTTCAGGAGGAAGCTGCTCCAGTTCAAATGCCTCTGCCAATCTCAGTGGCCAGACTTGGGTCAAGCCCTGGCGGGGAGAAGAGGTTAACAGTGTTGGTTGTCTATTGCGTGTAACAAATCACCACAAGCTCAGCAGCCGGAAGCGACACCCGTGTGCCGTCTCACAGTGTCTGTGGGTCTAGGCTCTGGGCACAGCCAGGTGGGTCTTCGGCTTGGGACCTCACGTCTCAGGAAGCTGCGCACTGTCCGGGTAGCTGGGCCACATTCTTATCTAGAGCACAGTTGGTGGTTCAGTTTCTTGTGGCCGTGGGACTAAGGCCATTGCTCTCTCACTGGTTGTTGGCCAGGGGCCACCCTCCTCAGCTCTTAGAAGCTGCCAAGACAGGTATCCCTCGATGTGTGATGGGGTTACATCTCAATAAACCCACTGGAAGTTGAAAATGCACTTAACAGCCTGGGCAACACAGTGAAAACCTGTCTCTAGAAAAAATAAGAAAATTAGCCAGATGCAGTGGCATGTGCCTGTATTCCCAGCTACTCGGGAGGCTAAGGCGGGAGGATCTCTTTAGCCCAGGAGGTTGAGGCTGCAGTGAGCTGTGATCGTACCACTGCACTCCAGCCTGGGTGACAGAGCGAGACCCCATCACTAAAAAATTTTAAAAGGCCAGGTGCAGTGGCTTGTACCTGTAATCCCAGCACTTTGGGAGGCCAAAGTGGGCGGATCATGAGGTCAGGAGTTCAAAACCAGCCTGACCAACATGGTGAAACCCTGTCTCTACTAAAAATACAAAAATTAGCAGGGCGTGGTGGTGGGCGCCTGCAGTCGCTGCTACTCAGGACGCTGAGTCAGGAGAATCACTTGAACTCGGGAGACAAAGGTTGCAGTGAGCCAAGATTGTGCCACTGCACTCCAGCCTGAGTGGCAGAGTGGGACTCCATTAAAAAAAAAAAAAAAAAAAGAACATACACTTAATACACCCTCCTCTGGAGGATCATGGCTTAGCGCAGCCTACCTCAGCAGTGCTCGGCACACTTCCACTAACCTGCAGCTGGGCAGAGTCATCCAGCACAAAGCCTGTTTTTATAGTATGGTTTTGCATATCTCATATAATTGGTCAACTGCTGTACTGAGAGTAAAACACAGAATGGTTGTGTGGGTGCCTGACGTGCAGTTTCTACTGAAGGCATATGGCTCTCACACCTCTGTCAGACTGAAACACCTGAAGTCACACCATCGTAAGTTGGGACGGTTTGTGGTGTCTTGCCCTGTGGCAACATGGAGTCTCCCCTGCTCCGCTCTGCTGAGATGAAGGCCCCTGTAAATCGCGCTGTCGAGGGAGCCCTCCCTGGTCCTTTGCCATATTCTGTTGGTTGCGGGCAAGTCCACCCACACTCATGTCACAGGCAGGGTGCCTGGAGTCAGCCCAGGGTGTGTGAGTCACACCACCATTGACTAGGACGAATCAGGACCAGCTTTCGGAAGTGAAGACAGGGTCCTCTTCCCAGATCACGTTGCAAAGGGGCAGGATTTCCAAACTTCACAGCTCTCTTGATGAAGAGGAGGAGCTGAACGCCTGGCGAGAGTGTCAGTTACAGATTTTTGTGTAACTAAGAATCCCAGACGTTGGGACAACTACCACCATTTTATCTGTTTGCAATGTCCCGAGTCTGCAGTTTGAGCTGGGCTCCTGGGGTGGTGCTTCTGCTGGGCCTGGGGCCCCTTGTCCAGTAATGGTCTTCTGGCAGCTGGCCTGTGGCTGCGTGGCCCGAGACGGCATCACTCACGGTGCTGGCCACTGCTCAGTGCCTGTGTTCACATGGCTTCTCTTCCCCCAGGAGGCTAGCCCAGGCATTGCTTTACATGGTGGTCTCCAGGGCTGCAACAGGGCCCGGGGTCATGGAAACTTCAGAAGCATAAGAGTTTTTGAAGCTTTGCGTGGAAGGCGGACTGCATCACTTCTCATGTATTCTACCAGTCAAAAGCTGAGGCTGGGCGGATCATGAGGTCAAGAGATCAAGACCATCCTGGTCAACATGGTGAAACCCTGTCTCTACTAAAAATACAAAAATTAGCTGGGCATGGTGGCGTGCGCCTGTAGTCCCAGCTACTCGGGAGTCTGAGGCATGAGAATTGCTTGAACCCAGGAGGTGGAGGTTGCAGTGAGCCGAAATTGTGCCACTGCACTCCAGCCTGGTGCCTGGTGACAGAATAAGACTCTGTCTCAAAAAACAAACAAACAAACAATTAATCAATAAAACAAATTACTCAACCAAGTCGGATTCACCAGGGCGGCATGGGGAACAGACCATACCCGCTCAGTGGGGAGAGTGGTAGTGTCGTATTGCAGAGACGTGCCCAGGGGGAGAGAGGGTGTGGCCGCCTTTGCAAACCATCTGCCCTGGTAAGCAAGCGACCCAGTCTGTGTCCACATGCATTTCTCATGTCCACAGGCGTGTGTCCAGCAGATTACCAACACTGACGCAGAGGAGCTTTTAGTCCGGAAGAAAAGAATCCCAGAGTCTCAGGGAGTGACTTCTGATTTAGGAGAGATTTTTTTCTTTTTCTAATGATTTTCCTTTCCTTTCTTTCTGCCACTCACCCAGGGTTTTATGAAGCGAGCAGCCAAGATGTTGCTTACTTGTCGCCCACCGCTTGCTTTATTTAAGTCTATGGTTTTTGTTCACTCTTCCATGCAGAGAGAAAAGAAGAGTGTGTTTTATCACAACCTATTCCTAGAAACTCTGTCCTTCAGGATTTTGTTGTAAAGGGGCCATGAATTCTGTAGGAATAATGAGCAGAGCGGGGTGGGGGGTGGGTTTCCACCAAAGTCTCCACATCAGATAAATCAAAGGTATGACCAGCATCATAAAATAATATGCCCAGCTATAAGCTTCTCAAATAATTTTAATAAGAACGTTGTTCTGCTCTGAAACAGGAATAAATATGTTCTATTTTTATTATAAAACAACCACCAATTTACTACAAAGTGTAAACATAATCTATAAAAATATAATACTACTGTACCATAAATATTACTATTTATATTGCTAGCTATAAAAGGCATTCAGCATTTAATTAACAATAACTTTGCAAATATGTTTATGTTCCTTTTAAAAAGCAAAAGCTTGTATATTAATCTTAGGCGTTGCTCCCTTCTTGGAATTTACGTGGGCTGTTGGGGACTCACGGTGGCGATGCTAGCTAAGTATGTACCGGGCTTTGCTCCGAATTCTTTGTTTGCGGTAACCCATCTGCTGCCCTCTCAACACCCTAGGAAGGAGGCATGTGATTACCCCTGACTGACAGTTGAGGAACCAGGCATGGGCGGGTAGGAAATTTACCCCCCACCAGGCACGTGATGGGTAGGGTATGAATGTAAACCCACGCTTCCTGGATCGGGAGCTGTGCTGTGGACTTAGAGGCAAGCGTAAAGAATAACGACTGGTCCCCTCCTTTCCCTCAATACCCTTTAACAGGCAAAATACTTCCATTTTTTTTTCTTCTAGTTCTGAAGGGCTTTGCTATTTAAACCAGGTCAACAGGAGCATTCTGTCATTACCGGGCCAAGGGTCGGCGTGCCTTCATCCATAATGAGCAGAGCCAGAAGCTGAGCTGCGAAGGCAGGGCCAGTGAGGCAAAGGGCTGTTAAACACCTCCCCACCTTCATGCCAGGGGCCCCTGGGACCTGGGGCAGGGCTGGCTTTGCCGATGAAGTGGCCATCACTCCTCTGCAGATGGGAAATGGGCTCCGAGAGGCTCACTAGCTCGCCCCAGGCCACACAGCTGAGTTAGGTTGTTCAGAAGAATTTGAACCCAGCTCTGACTCTGAATCACTAGTGCTTTCCACTGCCCCAGGCACCATCATATTGTGAAGACAGGCTCGGCTCTGCACCCCGGGAAGACGGCAGAACCAACGCAAAGGAAAACCAGTGGGGCCGGGGTGATAACCTGGGGCTGTGGGGCGCAGACCCTGGGGAAAGGCCTCAGTTCACATCTCAGGCTCGGCTTGTGAGAGGGAAGAAATGGTGGATCTGAGCGTCTCTGGGAATAGAGCTGGGATTGTTGATCTCGGGAAAGGAGTTGGTGGCTCCAGTGTCTTTTCATGGTGTTCATCCCAGCGTATGTGTGTGTGCACCTGTGTGTGCACCTGTGTGTGTACGCGTGTGTGTGTATGTATGTCATTTCCTACTTAGTCTCAATGTTTGCATTAACTCCCATCCTTCCGAAAAGTCACCTTCTCCAGGCCCAGGAGGCAGACAGAGTCAAGATCAGCCGCTAATGCAGACACAGGCTCTTGGGTGCATTTGCAAAATCTCCCTCCTTCAGTTTTTCACGTCTATGTCTCCTTCCTTTTTTTTTGCAGGAGTTTGTTCATCTGGCAAAGAGACTGGTTAGTGATCCTGCTTTAGAAAAGGAAATTGTAACGAACGGAAAGGCGTACGTGAGAATGTATCATTCATGGCAGGTGGAAAGAGACACCTACCAGCAGCTCATCAGGAAGCTGGAAGGCAGCAGTGAGGACTGAGGACCCGCCTCATCAGGCACCTGCTCTCTGACACATGGCTCTGGGTGGACGCTCAGAGTCTGGGTCACGTGGGTCCAGTCCAGTTCAAATCTAACCAACCTTAGCAGAATCCTAGAAAATGTGGGTCGTGAGTCCGCAGAGACCCTGCGTTTATCCCGTATCTTTCTGTGGTTCAGATGCTGACCCAGGCGAGTTCACCCGCCTGTCCTGAGGGAAGTGCGACTGGGACAGGGAAAGGGAAACTGGTTTCCAGGGAATTTGGGAGAGAATTTGATTACCTGCCGTAGGGCTTTGGTGTGGACAAGAGAGGCTTATTTTCAGGCAGTCACGGTTCAGGCCCCTCCCCAGCCTCCTGACCGACCTCTCCCCGTCATTGCCCATTTCAAAGGCAAAAGCAAAAAGCAGACGTGTCAGCCAGACTGAGTCTTAGCAGCGTTTCTGTTGTGATCTCAACTCTGACAGGCATGCAGGTGGCTCCAGTCTTCTCCGAATACTAGAAGGCACTGTGAGGGAGTTCGCAGCCAGCACATGTCACTTTTCAAGGGTGGAATTGCAAGTTGTGCCTTTTAGAAAAGCAGCCAGGCTGCTCGTAGGCCCCACTCACCTCTTGGCAGAATTTGAGTGGAAAACCAAGTAGGAGCAAACGCCATGTCCCCTGTAGCCTGCAAAATGCTCCAGTGAGCCTGAGATGGAGGCCTGGGGCTTCTGGTTCCGGGGTGGGCCCTTCCCCTTCCCACATCAGGGACCTGGGGATGGCTGTCGGAGGGTCACCGGCCTCCAGCCCTTGGCAGGATGGAACTCAGGTCTGCAGGGCTTTGCAGCCATCCAGCGAGGTCCTCCCGGGGCCAGCCCCGCCATCGTGGTAACAGAGACCTCTCCCCGTCCCTGTCATCTGCGTGACATCAGGACACGCAGTCTTCCCTGTCCTCTGCGAGTGGAATTTGCCTGGGATAAACCGCCACTGAATACTGAAATTGTGGCATGCCCGTGGGTTCCTTACAGTCATTGGGGAAGGCGGCATTTCCCGACACTTGTGGGTAGAAAGCAGCCTACTTTGAGGAGGTGAGAAGACAGAGCCGGGCAGAGCCTCGCCGTGGGAAGCGTTGGGTGTAAGAGTGGTTTAGAGCCCGAGGGGGGCCAAGGGAAGAGCCCACCAGTGCTGTGCGTGCTTCACGGTTTAGGATATCTGAACTTTCTGCTTACATAGTTTCAACCATCATTTTTTTTTTTAAATGGCACAACCTACATCTTGTTTTTAAAAGGAGTAGCCTCAAATTAAACTTCTTAAACTCGGATGCCCTGGGGATGAGAACAAGTTTGGATCTCGTGCGGTGGAATTTCATGTTTCATTCTGCCGCCTCCATCACAGAACAGTATCACTTTCCAGAAAGGAACCAGCAGGCTCCCAGTGATGGGACGACGGCTCAACAATGCCTCCCATCGCCCCCCCACCAACCTTTTTTTCCTCCGAGTGGCCCAAGGGTTACGGTGTTCATGTCTACCTGTGGGGACAGAGGAGGGAGAGGCAGAGCCTGGGTCCGGACAGGACAGCCTGGTCTGAATCTGGAATAATTGATGCCACCCACAGAAAAGGCCCTTCGAGGTCCAGTGTTGTCTTAGAGCTAATGATGCTGCTGTTTACAAAGTGCTGATTGTCCAGAAGCTCGAGTCTGTTCCTCCTTGAGTGACCCGGTAGCTGCCTGAACTCCACGGTACCTCCGCACCACCACGTCTTTGTAGGAGAATGTGCACGTGCCTAGGGAGAAGGGCACGTTTTAAAATTAATAAAAAGTGTCACCATCAGCCATGTGAAAACAGCCTCCGTTTCTTCCCACGGTGAGCTGTGCTCGGCAAGGAGCAGAACCCTCCCCCCCGCCCCGCCCCCACCAGGCCCAGGCCTTCAAAGGAAGTACAGACTGTTAAGCATCTAGTTACCAGGCGGTTAAAATGCAGCCACTTTGTGAATACTCAAGTACAGACGTAAGACCACGGCTTTTTCATGAGTGTTGTAGATGGCGTCAGTTTCACACGCGGCTCACTTTATGTTTAAAAATTTATTTATTTTTATTATTATTTTTGAGGCAGAGTCTTGTTCTGTCATCCAAGCTGGAGTGCAGTGGCGTGAACTCCACTCACTGCAACCTCTGCTTCCCGGGTTCAAGTGATTCTCCTGCCTCAGCCTCCCGAGTAGCTGGGATTACAGGCACCTGCCACCACACCTGGCCTAAACATTTATTTATTTTTATTTGTATGTAGTATTTTTATTCTTATTTGTAGTTTTAGTAGAGATGGGGTTTCACCATGTCGGCCAGGCTGGTCTCAAACTCCTGACCTCGGCCTCCCAAAGTGCTGGGATTACAGGCGTGAGCCACTGCGCCCAACCTAAACACGTATTTGTTTTTATTTGTCCATATTCACGGGGCACACGTGCAGTTGTGCTCCACTGATATTTTGCATGGTGATGAAGTCAGGGCCTTCCATGCATCTGTCCCTGGGCAATGCACATCCTGCTGTCACACAGCCTCCATCCTCCCGGCTCCCTCCCACCCTGCTCAGGTCCAGCATGCCGCACTCTGCTTCCGTGTGTACAGATTGTTTAGCTCCCACTTATAAGTGAAAAGTTGCAGTATTTGTCTTTTTGTTCATAGCTTGTTTCACTGAAGATAATGACCCCCAGTTCCATCGGTGTTGCGGCGTAAGACGTGATTTCATTCCTTTTCATGGCTGAGTAGTATTCCTTGTGTTGTAGATCACACATTTTCTTTTCTTTTTTTTTCTTTTGAGATGGAGTTTCGCTCTTGTTACCCAGGCTGGAGTGCAATGGCGTGATCTCGGCTCACCGCAACCTCCGCCTCCTGGGTTCAGGCAATTCTCCTGCCTCAGCCTCCTGAGTAGCTGGGATTACAGGCACGCAGCCACCATGCCCAGCTAATTTTTTGTATTTTTAGTAGAGACGGGGTTTCACCATGTTGACCAGGATGGTCTCGATCTCTTGACCTCGTGATCCACCCGCCTCGGCCTCCCAAAGTGCTGGGATTACAGGCGTGAGCCACCGCGCCCGGCCCTGAATGTTTTTATGACGATCCTGAATGAGTAAGCGCATTGTTGCTCCTGTTGGAGGGTCTTCGGAAATAGAAATCTCTTCTGAAGGGATTCATGAGTCAGAGCTTGACTAAAACAAATCAAGAATTGGTGTTAAAAATGACATCTGGTGGAAGGCCGTCTTGTGCAGAGTGCAGGTTCTAGAGGTGGCATTTGAAACCAAAACCTCGTGTCATCGAAGTTCTCCTTGGAAACCTCGTCAAGCATGGCATGTCTGATCGTGTATGTACAGCCTTGCACGTCATGTCCTATGCACGGTCAAGATTTTCAACCCCTGAGCGCGATGACAGAACGTCAACCTCTGAGTGTCTGATTCTCCAAGCCATTCTGTTTTGAGATACAGAACTGAATCTCCAGGAGGCAATGTGGAAATATTCCCATTTTCCTGTGGGGTTTATTTTATCCTGTTTTGACAGTGTCTACATAACCATTTGTCCATTCATTCTACAAATTTTTATTAGAATAATTGGTGCAGTCTGTGTTTTGGGGGCCGGGGTTACTTTCCTGGGTGCTTCACAATTAGTGTGAAATAAATCCTGTTAGAATCCATTAGTGTATTCTTGTGGAAAGTTTTCCATGAGATTACAGAGTCATCTCTAAGAAGTGAGGATCAAAAGGCATTGAGAACATGACCTAAGGGCTACTAGACGCAACAATTTTTCAAGATGAAAACCACCTCCAAGATGCTGCAAGTGATTTCTAAGAGGATCTTCGCAGGGTAACGGAATTTCTGGGAAAAATGAATGCAAAAAAGAGAGGAGGGTGTGTTAAAAGGAATGACTTCATCTGACTCCGTGGCCACAATCTATTTTAAAGAGATTATTTTATAATTCACTTCTTCTTTCAGACTCATAAATAGTCCTTAAAAATGTAGGCTGAGAGAATTGTCTCTCTAAATTATAACACAATTCTGCTAAATTACAAAAGCTTCAAAAGCTTTCTCCTTAGAAAAGAAAAAAAAAAAAAGCCATAGTCATGCCTTTTTCATTAGAGGCCTTTGAAATCACCCCAAGCACTTTGGAAAGCCTCAGCTAGTAGAACAGGTCATGCTTCATTTAAAACAGTTGCTGGTTTTGGCATCTGTATTTTCATTTTACCATCTAATAGAAAAATATAGCAAATATTTCCCCAAACTAGAAAGGTTAATAGCCAGATATTTACAGGAAGCTGGAGATCGGGGAGCCAAGCAGTATAGTTCAGCGGTCCCCAAACTTTTTGGCACCAGGGACCGGTTTTGTGGTAGAGAGCTTTTCCATGGACTGCGGTGCGAGGAAGGGGGATAGTTTGGGGGATGATTCCAGGGCATTGCATTTATTGTGCCCTTTATTATGACGACATTGGAACATACAGTGAAATCCTTCTACAACTCACCCTAATGTAGAATCAGTAGGAGCCCTGAGCTTGTTTTCCTGTAACTAGACGGTCCCCTCTGGGGGTGACGGGAGACAGTGACAGATCATCGGGCATTAGATTCTCATAAGGAACGTGCAGCCTGGGTCTGTCATATGCGCAGTTCACAGTGGGGTCCGCGCCTCTGTGAGAATCTGATACGGCTGCTGATCTGCCCAGGGAGGCGGAGCACCTTAACGTGAACCTGGGGCGGGGGTGGGGGCTGTAGATACAGGTGCCGCTTTGCCCGCTCGGCTGTGGCTGTGCAGTCCGGTGCCTCCCAGGCCACAGACCCGTCACTATACTAGCTTTCTGACCCAGTATTTAGTGCAAACTCCTTGATTTTAGAAACATACGGGAAAACAGCATACAGAGCCTAAGGACCTGCTGGCTTTCGGTTTGTGAAGAGTGTCCCCTCTTTGTGCTTCCCTGTCCTGTCTCTCCCGAGGTCTGAGTGCGTTCAAGGAGGGCTCAGCCATGCTGTAAACAGCTGCCAGTCACGAGAGGATGGAGAACAAAGCTGCATTTATGACATAGACAGCGTCACATGGAGATGCTTCTGTCCGCTGCAGCAAACGTTAACTGAACACCTGCTGCGTGCCAGGCAGTGCTCCGTGCTGACAGCGTGGAACTTCCCGAGCTCTGTGCGGCCCGAAAAATACCGACGTTCGTTCACCTGGCGAGCAACGAATGACTCCACAACAACGCAGGTTTTGATCAATAGGAGTTTTACTACTTGACTGAAGTGAGGAGAGCACTGGGAGGTTCCTCAGCGCAGGCTCCTGAGGGGAAGCCACAGGAGGGCTTATGGGGAGGTGGAGAGGGGAGGGGTGTGTCGTCGCATGTGGCTGCGGGTGGGGGGGAGTCCCAGCTGCACAGACACAGGGAGTCTCAGGTCAGCACAGGTCACATGTGATGGGAATGAAGCCGCAGCCCCTCCTGGGGTGGAGGCTTTAGCGTGGCACTGAGGGAGTCTCCATCAGCCTCTTCTGTAAGTTGCTGGGGCTGTCAGGAGAGGGTTCCAACCACCAAGGTGACCGCATTCCGCCCAGGGTTTGGGGAGGAACTGGCTGTGGGGCAGGAGACTGTAAAACCAGCTGCTGCTCAAGTGGGTTCACTTTCAACTGTCCCTGGAGATGTTCCCTGTCTGCTGACCCTGGAAGACAGCAAAGGTCAGGACGCCCCTCACTGCAAAGAGCCCCTTCCCTGAATGGGAGGAGACTCAGAGACACCCCTAGCCTGTGACAAGATCAGACACAGCCCCTCCAGAATCTCAACCTTCGCCTCATCAGGGACTGAGCCGAACTGTACCCCGATGGTGGAACTGTACCCCGATGGTGGAACTGTACCCCGATGGTGGAACTGTACCCCGATGGTGGACCAGAGCAAAATGCACAGGAACCAAACTTTATTAAAGCTCCTCTCCTTCTCCCAGGCCTGCCGCGCTCCCCAGCCTGAGCTGCAGACGACCCCCAGCAGCCCCTCCTGGGAGCAGAGGGTCCCAGGGCCAAACTTGGGATCTGCCGCCTGCTCCTGGCCACCCTCACCCCGGTTCCTGGCACTGCACCCGCCCTTCTGAGCGTGCCTGCTCCTCCCCAGCAAAGGAGAGTGGAGGCCGCCTGACCCAGAGCTCACACTTAGAGCCCTCTCCACACTGCCATCGTCCCTTCCTGCCCCTTAGGGATCCTTCCAGAGTCCAAGTTTGCTTCTTACTCGACAGTGTCTGATCCACAATAGTTCAGTGAATCCTCAAACCACCCTGTGAATTCACAAGTGAGAAAGCCAAGGCTCTGAACCCGGGCCTGAGACAGGGCGAGGAAGAAGGGAGCCGGGACGCCTGGCCAGCCGGCCCTGCCCACTGTGCTCGCTCGGTGGTGGTGGTGGTGTTGTTGTTTTGGTGATGGAGTCTCGCTTTTCTGCCCAGGCTGGAGGACAATGGTGCAATCTCTGCTCACTGCAACCTCCGCCTCCCAGCTTCAAGTGATTCTCCTGCCTCAGCCTCCCGAGTAGCTGGGATTATAGGTTCATGCCACCATGCCTGGCTAATTTTCGTATTTTTAGTAAAGATGAGGCTTCACCATGTTGGCCAGGCTGGTCTTGAACTCCTGACCTCAAGCGACCCACCCGTCTTGGCCTCCCAAAGTACTGGGATTACAGGTGTGCCCCCAACCCACTGTGCTCTCTCCTTCTCTCTCTGGTTCTCTCTGTCTCTCTCCCCCCCAACCCCCCAATTCTCCTCCCTCATACAGTTGCCAGCTGTACCCTACGATACCCAGTTTGCACATGGGTTAGACAAACGTTCAGCTCAGGACAAAGGAAACCTTCAGTTTTAATATTCTCACATTTACTTTGAATGAGGTGCATAGTGTAAGTGGTA